CGCGCGCGCACACACACACACACACACACACACACACACACGACCCTCAGCCCAGACCCCTGCGCCCTGCGCGTACGCGTCAAACACATTTCGCCGCGTTCTATGAACACTCGTTCAACGCGTTCAAAACATGAACGCGAAACGCGCGCAGCAACATAGTCGTCGACTACCAGCGTGTACCAAAAAAAATTAAAAATTTAAAAATTTTGGGGGGTGGTTTTGGGTGAGTGACAATATATATATATATATATATATACTGCGTTACCGAGCGTACCTGTACGGGGCGTTTCCGTACGGGTCGTACGAGTTTTTTTCGTACGCGGACCTGTACGTGGACTTGTACGTACGTACAGGTCCCCGTACAAGTTTTTGGTTTTTTTTTGGGGGGGGGCCTTGCCGAGCAGCACATGACGCCCCAGGGTGGTTTTTCGTTAGGGCGGGGTTTGCCTGGGCAGGGGGCTTGTGGGAGGTCCAGCAAGCGTGCAGACACACAGACTTAGTAGCAAGCGGGAAACTCAGCAAGGCATTCAGTCTATGGGCAAAACTCGGAAATCAGCTATGTGTTTCAGTCATACTTGCTGCGCATCACGTGCGCGCAGCTTGCCCACGTGCGCCGCAGCGCACATGCGCACACATGTGCGCGCACGTGATGCGGTGCATTTGAAAATTAATATAAAAAAAAAAACAGAAAGGGTAGTTGTCGTGTACCCATAGAGAATTACCCTGCAAGCAATATATCGGGGCCTCATCCTACTTCTCATTGGTTTGATTCTCCTTTCCGAAAATTACACTGCAAGCAATTCGCAGGATTTCCATAACATTCGGAAGGATGTGCATTAGACTGCTTGAAGACCACGAGTAGGCCAACAAAATATCCGGGTTCGGATTCAGGTCTGTCTTCCAAGAGTTATGGGTTACGAATTTACCACAAACACTCCTGTATTTGTCTCGTTTTTTTTTCCCCCCTTTTCTTACATGCAGTGGCTCTAAGGGCCTCGCTCCACTCATCAGCACTTGCAGAAAAGACAAACGGATAGCTTGTATGGTTCCAGTTTTTAGTAGAAGATTCATTCTAGTTTTGCACATACAGTAGCTGTCTCGTTTTTTTTGTTTTTCCTTTTCTTACTTGCGTGCAGTGGTCCTAAGGGCCTGGCTCCACTCATCAGCACTTGCAGAAAAGAAAAACGTATGGCCTGTATGGATCCAGTTTCTACGAGAAGATTCATTCTAGTTTTGCACATTCGGTGAGTAGTGGAGTGAAGCCCTGAAGGTCACAATGTCGAGTTAGCAAGTTAGTAACCCATAACTGCTGAAACACGGACCTGAAATCGAAGCTACACCATATGTGACTGGCCCACTCCCTTCTTACTATGAGTCCAGTGACGACCTTTCCAATGACCACCCTGTTCCTGCCGAAGGGACCCTTGCCAATATTTGGCAGGGACCTTTTGAAGTACAGGCAGGGGTTATCTGAATAACGTGAAGGTAGGAAATGCCAAAAAAAAAAAAAAA